TCATCTTAATTGGGAAATCCAGTTACCATGTGGAATTTGGCATAACAAAACACTAATTTATAACTTGTGGTCTGTAAAAAATCTGTTGCTTGGCAGCAGTGGCAGAGCAAACTCCTGATGACTCAACAATTTGTACTTCGGTAACTCTCAGTCCTCGCTCTATTAAAAACTGCTTACCGTGTGAGCACTGAACTTTTGTATCCTTCTGAACCCATAAGAGTTGGCTCCATTAATTCAGGCAGACCAATGAGTAGGCTTATGCTGTTATCACAGGTAACATAATGTCCCACACCAAATCCTACAAATGTCAGTGGTATACAAGATTATTTCTCACTCATGCCACATATCCATCACCTGTCAGTTGTCACATGGTTCCATGTCATCTTCATTCTGGGGCCTCAGCTAAAGGAGAAGCCCTGACCTGGAACATTGCCAGTTTTTGTTTCAGAGAGAAAAGTGAGTGATATGGAATTCTGCAAAAACTCCTTGAGCTTCTACTCTGAAACTACATGTCATGTCCACTCACATTTCATTAGCCAAACCTGATGTAAGCAAAATCAGGAGGGCGGCCAACATTTTGAACAATAACACAGTATTGGAACAGTGTGGGTTGAAGAAGGAGAGGAAGCAGCATAAGTTAGGCAGAAAGCTCTGGAGTAGAAATAAGTTGAGTATGATCTTTTTACTTCATTTCTCTGAGTCCTAGTGTCTGTACTCATAAAAAAGAGTTAATGTGGCCAATGCTGCAACTTTCTCACAGATGTAAAGTTCAAAAAGTGTAACATATACAAAATGAGTCTGAACAATTAAAAACACTCTGCAAGTAAAAGGTATTATCATTTAATGTTAATTGTAGTGCTTTCCACACCTGACAGATGGCATGATGTGTATGTTATTACATTGTTCTTTATTCTTGTAAGTAACTTTATATTACAGGAAGAAAAAGTTTATAAAACTCTATCTAGGTAGACTCCAAATTCAAGAAGTAAAATCATGAATAGGACCCCTATTGCTATACCTTCCTCAGACACTACTTCTAATGCATCAGAAACTACATAAGACCAACCTGTTGAAAATGTAATTACAAAGGGAAAATGCCTCAGCCAGTAAGATTCCTAAAACACTAAAATCCAACTAGAGCAGTTTTGAACATGGGAGTCAGAAGAGGCAAAATGAAACAGCCTCCTGTGAACTGTATCATATCTGGAGTCAGAAGAGGCAAAATGAAACAGCCTCCTGTGAATTGCTGTATCATAGCTGACAAAATGTCTTATTATCTTCTTCTGATTGGCCAGGAGTTCAGCTATCTTCTCCATGGCAGTCTCTACGACAATCTCTACAGAGCGGGAGCCCTTAACACACCACCTCTCTGCTACTACCTTAGGAAGTCAAGAAAATTGAAAGCCTTTGTACTTCCTTTTCCACTGAGAGCCTGAATGGGCTTTTCAAAATGGCCTGGACAATGTGTGCAATATTTTGCTTTAATTTTCAAGCCAGCTTGTTCATCGTGGCTTTTATAATATAGGTCATTTTCATTCCATTTACTCAGAGTAAAAATAACTTGCCTCAAGCAGCTCATAAGTATTTACTTCTTTCTAGGCTGTGGAGAGACAAGGAATGCAGCCTCGGAGAGGCTCTAGTCCTAGGAGGGCACTTGGCCACCTGTAAGCTTGTCTATCCGGTCACCTAAAAGGGCAATTCTTAGGAGAAAGCTGGGGAAATGGCCTCCATGACCATTTATCTCATTTAACTCATCTAAATGTAACCATAAAAAAATGGTTGCTAAAACCCTATTTTGTTCAGGTAAAGGGCAAAGCTCATTTGGTTTCAAGGAAGACAAACCTCTCTTCCAGTTCCAGGGAATAAACACAGCTAGCCCAAACCAGGCATGGCCATCTCATTCCCTTCTCTCAAACATTGGTCTAGAAGTGTGTGTGTGGTGAAGAGAGAAGTGGTATAACCCAGGACTGAAAAATAAGACAAGGGAAGTCTTCTGTATGTGGTTATGGTGGTAATATGGGTAGAGTGAGGGAATGACTTTCTAGGAAAGACTTTTTTGTTTGTTTGTTTGTTTTGTTTTGTTTTGAGACAGAGTCTCGCTCCGTCGCCGGGCGCCAGACTGGAGTGCAGCAGCGCAATCTTAGCTCACTGCAACCTCCCCTCCTGGGTTCACGCAATTCTCCTGCCTCAGCCTCCTGAGTAGCTGGGATTACAGGCGTGTGCCACCATGCCCAGCTAATTTTTGTATTTTTAGTAGAGATGGGGTTTCACCATGTTGGCCAGGATGGTCTCGATCTCCTGACCTTGTGATCCACCCGCCTTGCCCTCCCAAAGTGCTGGGATTACAGGTGTAAGCCACCGTGCCTGGCCTAGGAAGGACTTTCTTTGAGCATAAAAGGATAGAATCTCACACAGACAAGGTTTTTTAAGCCCTACCCCTTCCTCTCTTCCTTCCTTAAGATGTTGCACTGAGGATATCATGCTTAGAGCTACGGAAGTCATCATGCAATCATGGAAACATAAGCCCAAAGATCAAAGTTCAAATGCTGAAGAAGGCAGAAGGAATGAGATAAAGGCATCTGCTCTAAATGTTGGCATTCACTCTACTGGGTTCTCTGTGCCTCCCAACTGGATGCCCAGTATTTAACCCCTGCTTTAAGCCCTGAGCTTGGTTCTTATACGCTAGGAGGGGTCCAATGTTTAGCCATTTCTCTTTAGGTGCTATCCTTCTCTCCAAGAAATGTCCCCGGGAGCTTGTGGAAAGTCTCCATGACAACATGGAAACAACTGAAGCCCAAGCACATTGCCATTACCCAATAGCAACAGCAAACTGGCCTAGGGCCAGGCTCATACATGGAGCTAAACAGGAGCATGTCCAAGAAAACAGTGATTCAGACCTAAAAACCACTCAACATTATCAAGCAAGGCCTCACAGAGAAAGAACAGGTTGATCTTGCAGATGGCTCCTCATGGAGCCAATCTTTTGTAATAAAAAATTATATCAATGAGAAATGAATCAAACAGTCCCAAACGGCACTAGAACCAGCAGTTTTCGCCCACATTCTTCCAGGTCTCAGTAGAGAAGTGGGGCCAGGAATGAGGGCTATGCTGATTTCAAAAAGGTGTGCCAGTCGTGTAATGAGGACTCACATTGTTTCTGAGGTTCCTTCTATCATTTTTATAACTGTTCAGCATCTATCCCTATACATAAAAAAAGGTAAGAATGTAAATATTTTCGACCATTATGTGGCTTACACAATTTTTCCATAGTAAATAGCGGGAATATTCACATTTTTAATTTTTAAAATTACTTTATTTTTCTGATAGAAAATAGCATAAGGTAAGATCTAGATATAATATTAATATGAAGTATTGAAGTTGATACTCCCATCATCCAAAATTATCAAATAACTAAGATGATATTAAAGTGTAGATGAAGAGGTTCACAAGCAAAGGGACAGTTTCCTTTGCCCAAGTGTCTCCTTAAAACTTTAAATCCATAAAACAAGCCAAAAAAGGGTGAAAAGAAGACAAAACTATTAGTTGGAATACATTGTTAATAACAATTATGGTAGTAACAAAGAAAGTCTTCCAGAAGAAATGAAATAAACAGAAGGTTCCTACAAGTACTGGTCTCTAGTAGTAATAACAGACACCCTCTTGACAACTAGAGGTCTTTGGTCAAAACCAAAAAGTTAAGCAGAGATTAATAATACATAGTCATTCCTGTGTATGTGCAGGGAATTGGTTCTAGGCCCCTGTGCATAACCAAATCTACACATACTCAAATCCCAAAGTAGGCTATGCAGAACCCACCGTATAGGAAAAGGTGGCCTTCCGTGTAGGCAAGTTTTACATCCCATGAATACTGTATTTTTGACTTGTGTTTGCTTGAAAAAAACCCATGTATAAGTGGACATGTAAAGTTTAAACCCAAGTTGTTCACGAATCAACTATAAGATAGCAGAATAGAAAGAAATTTACCTTACTATCATCAGTTAATATTGTCTTTACCTTTAGAACACCTGACCCATTTGAGAACCAAACCACTTAGAGGAAAGTGACCAGGATTTTGTAGCATTCATTGAAGGCAACTACTTAAATCATCTTGGTGCAATATGTTATTAATGATGACAGCAGGAATAATTGGATTAACAGGAACCAGAACAAACAGGAAAACAGCCCAGCTACCACTTTGCTTATTAAAGCTTTTGCAAACTGATGGAAGGGAGCCATGAGGACCTTGGAAATGGATGGCTCAGATATTATGGTACTATACATACAGACCAGGTCAAGCTAACTCCCACCTTTCTGGCATGTTAAAGTAACAGGGATGTGCAATGCTCACCACTAGCAGGTTGCATTGCTGAGCCTGAAAAGAAAAGGTCCTCACTTAAGATGGAGGAGTTGTTTTCTCTAGAGCAGAAATGTGGGTCACTGATGCTTGAGGCCACCATCCCACTGTAATAGCATCAGCCCATGTGCCAAAGTTATGAGTCCTTCCATCACTGTGACTTTTAGTAGAGATTGGGAATTGGCAATGCATGAATCAATCATTAAAAACCTGATCTTGTCAGGTCAAGGAGATAGCAGCTTAGTATGAGTTAATGCCAAAGTATCATTTGAAAACAGAATCCACCATGTACATTTAATTAAATATGAAGATGACAATCTCATCAAATAAGAAAACAGAATATGATATGCCTATGATTGATCTAGTGATTGTTATATACACAGCAGCAGAACATGGGATTTGATATGTCCCTGTTGCCTTTGTTTCTTTGCTGTGTTCCATAATTACTTTCAAAGGTCTTGCTTTCTTATGCTACTAAGCAGTGTGGATAAACCAGGAGAACAGAGAACCCTCAGCAATTGATATTGATTTCTTGTAGGACTGTATAAGGCCAGGGTCAAGTGATAAGTTTTCACTCCTTAACCACATCTACCAGTAATACATGTCTCAGTCAACCTCTCACAGGTGACTTCATTAAATAGCTTACCTTCACAGTAGGCAGAGTCTCCCTGGACAGAGATGTAACCACTCTTGCACTCACAAGTAGCTTTTGTATTCCAGTTTTTGCATTCTGAGTTTTCACCACATTTAGGCCCTTCTGCACAGAAGTTATGACCTAGAAGAAACAAATAAAACTGTACATAAGAAAAGGAGGAAATAAAATAACTCCCCAAAATGAAGTATGTAACATTTTTTATTATATGTCGCTGTGCAGGAAAATATACTTTGACAGTATGCAAGGACAAACTGGATAGGGAAGTGACAGAACAGAAATAGGAAACTTTGGGCTGCCCCAGGCTTCAGAGGCTTTCTCCCACCCATACTCAAATTTGCTAAAGTTGTTTCTACCTGAAGGTTTTTATTTATGCTGATTCTGCATCTTCTTCTCACTACATTCTTACATGACTACTCTTTTTATAATTGTTTTCTTGTAAAATGTATAATACGTAGAAAATAGTACATAAAATTAATACATATGAACATATAAAATAAAATGAATACAACCAAATTATCAAAACTCCTTAATTATAGCTCTGCAATGAATCCCCTTTCAAGCCACTAGAGATAACTATCCTCAATTTTGAGTTAATCACTGCCTTGCAGCTTTTTAGAGTTTTACTACATATTTGTGTTTATGCCTAAACAATATACCATTTCGTTTTGCCCATTTTAAACTTCACATAAGGGAAATCATATTGTACACATCTTCTATGGTGTGCTTTTTTAACAATGTTCTATAGCCATAGGTTTTTGGGGAATAGGTGGTATCTGGTTACATAAGTAAGTTCTTTAGTGGCGATTTGTGAGATTTTGGTACACTCATCGCATGAGCAGTATACACTGAACTCAATTTGTAGTCTTTTATCCCTCACCTCCTTCACTCCTATTTCCCCTAAATCTCTAAAGTCCATTATGTCATTATTATGCCTTTGCATCTTCATAGCTTAACTCCCACTTATGAATGCAAACATATGATGTTTGGTTTTCCATTCCTGAGTTACCTCACTTAGAATAATAGTCTCCACCTCATCCAGGTTGCTGTGAATGCTATTAATCCATTTCTTTTTATTGCTGAGTACTATTCCATCATACACACACACACACACACACACACACACACACACACACACACAATTTTTTTATCCACTCACTGATTGATGGGTATTTGGGTTGGTTCCACATTTTCACAGTTGTAGATTGTGCTGCTATTAACATGCATGTGCAAATATCTTTTTTGTACAATGACTTATCTTCTTCTGGGAAGATACCCAGTGGTAGGACTGCTGAATCAAATTCTACTTTTAGTTCTTTCAGGAATCTCCCCCACTGTTTTCCATAGTGGTTGTACTAGCTTACATTCCCACCAGCAGTGTAGAAGTGCTCCCTGTTCACCACATCCACACCAACATCTTCTTTTTATTATTATTATAGTATTGTGTGCTTTTCTCTATTCATCCATGTGAATGCCTTTAGCATAAGTTCATTCATTCAGCAAAGGATTACGAATATTATATAAACTTAGTTGATAGAGCAGCAGGAGGATCAGCACCAATTTTGAAAGACATTCTAGGGAGTAAAATGCCATCAGACTATGCTTTTAAACACACTGTGAAATGAAAATAATTTGTGTGACTCACTTATTGCAATATTCACTTAACAGCCACAGTCTGGAACTGAACCTAAAATATCTCCAGGGTATGCCTATATTACAAATAAAGCTGCTAAAAACATTCTTAAACATGCTTCCTGGGGTATTTTTTAGCCACATGTTCAACATTTTCTTTACTTAACATTCTTTCTTATTCCCTGCCACTTTTTCCAAGAAATTCTTTTCTTCCTAATGGCCTTTAGAAGTTCCTGTGGTATCTTTTGATAGTGACTGTGCTCAATTTCAATTTGTCTAAATGTGTCTTTAAACTATCCTCATACTTAAAAAATAGTTTTACTTGGTATACAGTTATTTTAGCTCAATATTTTGAAAATGTCATTCCATGTTTTCTGGCTTCTATTACTGCCGTTGAGTCACTTATTAATCTAATAGTCATTCCTTTATATGTGGCAACCCCTTTCTCTGAGGATGATTTTAAGATTTTTTTTTTAATGTGTGTGTTAGGTTAGGTTTTGTTGTCGTTTTAAGACAGTCTCACTCCATTGCCTGGGCTGGAGTGCAGTCGCACAATCACTGTTCTTTGCAGCCTCAACCTCATGGGCTAAAGTGATCCTCCCACCTCAGCCACTGAGTAGCTGGGACTGCCGGTGTATGCCACCAGGTCCAGCTTATTTTTTTTTCTCTCTTTCTTTCTTTTTTTTTTTTTTTTTTTTTGATAGAGGTGAAGTCTCACTATATTGCCCAGGCTGGTCTCAAATTCCTAGGCCCAAGTGATTTCCCTTATCCTCAGCCTTCCAAGTGCTGGGATTACAGACGTGAGCCACCACACATAGTCTAGTTGGGGTATCTTGTCTGTTTTGTATTTTTCAGTTTTAATCTAAGATATTTAAGTACGAATTCATTTGTATTTAGGATTTGGGGGGGATTCCTGAATCTGAAAAATGATGAAATCTTTCATCAGTTTGGAAAATTCTTGGATATTCTCTCTTCAAACATTCTCTCTCCATGTTTTTCTCTATTTTGTGTTTGTGGAATTCCAATTAGATAAATGTTCTTTCTTCCCATCCATGTTATTTAGACTTATTTTCATAACTTCTGTTTCTTTTTCTTTATGCTGAATTCTGTATCATTTCCAAATGTATCTTTCAGTTTATTAAATCTATCTTGGGCTGTGTCATATTCTCCTTCAGTCTCGCATATCATTTTTAATCTCACTTACTGTATTTTTATTTTTAGAATCCTCTCTGATTCTTTTTCAATCTGCTTAGTCAAATTTGATAGTCTCTTATTCTTTTCATTTTTAAATTGCCTTTTAAAAATTCTTTAAACATATTATACATGAATGTTTTACGTTGATAATTCTAATATCTTTAGGCTTTGCGCATCTAATTTTGCCATTTGTTGTTTATGCTGAGTAGCATGCATGAAGGCTTATTTTCTTGTGTTTTGAGTGATTCTTTTATTTTTAAGCTCATACTTTTGGGGATTTAATCTGTGGTAATTATGTGAGGTTTTGGTTTTAAAACTGCATTTCTTCAGAGAGTTCTTGTGTTTCCTTCTGCCAGGTTTCTGAGGGAACTATCAACCCAAGATTACTTTCAACGACATTTTTGACTTAGGGCTTAAAGATTGAGCCACACAGGTGGAATAAAATCTAGCACTAAGCTTTTATAGGAAAGCAAATTTTCTCCTCTAGACCTCCATCTAGAGTCAAGTTTGACAGGCAAGTCTCCTTGTGCAGAGTGGATTTTTCCTAGTTCACCCATTGAGGAATTCACCCTTTAAGGTCCTTGATTTATGTTTCTGATACTAGCCCCAGGTTGTCTCCTGTCAGCTTACGCAGTGTGCGTTAGAAGCCAGATTTTATACCGCCAGAGACTAGAAATTGCACTCAGAGCAAATGCAAATGCCACTGTACTTACTTATTTCAATGGAATCACCCTCTTTCTATATTCTGGTCTCCAGATTTTTTTTCCCCTTACTACCATCTCCACCAAATGTTCCAGAAAGTTATTTCTATATTATACAGCATTTTAGGTTAACTAGAAGAAATAGGTAACATCTACCAAAAAATTTTTGAAGTTCAGATATGATAAAGTATATAAAGATGCTTTATCATCTTTAAATCAGTGCTTTTAGTAAACAATAATTATGCTATATCACAAATGGTGATCTCATAGAAAACAATCGATCTAGAAGTCAGAAGGTCTAATTTACAATGTAGGGTCTTCAGCTAACAAACAGTCTAAATCACTTTGCTTTTCTAGGTATGTATGTGGGAGGTGGATGAAATTAGTAATTTTTAAACTGTGTTCCTCAGAGCCTTAGGCACAGATGAGTTGTTATACAGGGTTCAAGTCCTCTGCCTCTGATACAAATAGAATAGCTATGCTTTCATATTTTTGACATATTGATCTTTTTTTTTTTTTTTTGAGAGGAAGTCTCACTCTGTCACCCAAGCTGGAGTGCAGCAGCATGATCTCGGTTCACTGCAACCTCCGCCTCTCAGGTGCAAGCGATTCTCCTGCCTCAGCCTCCAGAGTAGCTGGGACTACAGGTGCACACGACCATACCTGGCTAATTTTTGTACTTCTAGTAGAGGTGGGGTTTCACTATGTTGGCCAGGCTGGTCTCAAACTCCTGACCTCATAACCCACCCACCTTGGCCTCCCAAAGTGCTGGTATTACAAGTGTGAGCCACCATACCCAGCCCATATTGATCATGTTAATGACAGTTTCTGGCTTAAAAATATGAAAATCCCTCCACTAAAGTCAAGTTAATTTCTTCCCTTGATAACATTCTAGAACTATTTTTCTTTGAAATAAAATTTTAAACCAGCAACATTTGGAGAATTCTTACTCTGAAAGATAATAATATTGTTATTAAATAATAATATAAATTTCATGAATCTATAATAAGCTTGGCATGCTAGATGTTTTAAGCGGGAATAACAATATATACCTTTTAATATGTTGAGAAATGTAAATGGGCTAATCCATGTAAAGCACTTGAAAGAATTTCTTATACCTATTAAAGAGGTTAATAAATGGTGGTCACTATTAATGATGATATTTTTAACAATAATGACTAAAGTTCAAAGTAACTTAATGCTGTTATCCTTGGCTTCAAGATAAAATGCAGAAACTCACAAACCTCTAGGTAGTAAGTGGATATGCCAGGATTCTAAATTAGGTCTGGCTCACTCCAAAGCCCATATGCTTCTCACTATGTCATATATCCTCTCAGATAGCAAAACCTAGTGATGAAAAGTGAAAAACATAGCCACTCCTTGGGACATTAGAGAGTAGATGCATAGCCCTAAATGAGTTACATCCAGCCTCACTATTTAGGACCTGTTAACTGATGACTGCCTCAGTCAAAAATCAGAGCAAGAGTCTAACTTACTGGAAATCTGAAGCCTCTGACAGTTGAGAATATTTCTATAAGAGCTTGAGAGCCTTATAATAACCATTAAAACTAGCAGTGCTTGATGTTTTTCCTACCA